TAAAGTTATATTATGATTAGTTGCCTGGTGACTAGAGAGGTATGTGGAGGTAGAGTTTTAAACATCCCAGGCCAGTGGAGCAGAATTTCATTCCAGACAGATATTTCTCCTTCACGCTACCTTGGCCCTATTGTTGCTCTACCCTCATCCAAAAATAGTTAGGTTATCCTGAGCTATTTTCTATATATGTGTTATCATATTCTTGTGCTGCTATATGCTTAGGCTGTTGGAGGACTTAGGGAACACTTTTCCTCATTCTGCTTCTTTCTATCTCCTTTCTCCCATTCTGCAGTATTTGTCAAGTTCAACCCATAATTTTAAGTTCTCTCTGCTTTTTCTCATCATAACATCTTCCTCTCGTCTGTTCCTGTTTTGCTCTGATATCATCCTGGATTGAAGTATCAGTTGTGCTGTTGCCATCGGCATATCTGTTTATAGATGTTGGAGCCTGAACAGTTTCCAGTGTAGTCCTGTTTATTTTACTGCTTCTCACTGTATGTCCTCTCTTTCATCCGCTGACCTGAGAATGGGCTTTGATGGAACAGGCTTTCATCCTGTTAAATGAGAGGTTTCCACTCCACTCAGCAACATGCATGATTGGTTTGAAGGATTGCTTAAGAGTCAATGACAAAATGCAAGCAAAAATCATGCTGGAAGCTCATTCATGAGGGGCATGTGTTGCAAATCAATGACTGGATGCAGTCATCTGATTTTCCTATTCAGTCTCACAGTGTTGTCTCTGTAAAGTGTCTTGAGATGACATGTTGTGAATGAATTTATAAATAACTGAATTGACTTGAAAAGGACTGCTGGATCAGTGCTTCCTTTTGTCCCTCATTACAGATGATTCAGAACAGGAAAGTTCACTCTGAATGGGATGTAGCATTCCACCTAAAAATAGTGACTTGTAAGATTACACAGAAGCTGAAAACTCATCTTTCTGGTTAAGCTCTTTCTGCTTTGAAAATGTAATGTCCTTTAGCTGCAAAGGACTGAATTCTTCTATTATTAGAATGATGGCAATTTCTAAATATTTAATAAGAGCTATTTTTCTGTGTGATGACCCTGCTCCAGATGTCTGAGAAAGTTAGAATGTTTGTGCACCACCCAAGACAAGATAATGGACAGTGACTGGTATAATATTTGTTCAGACCTTTCAATGTATACTAACATCAGAAAACTTTTAGATACCTGTCTGTCCAGAAACTCCAGGGTCACCTTTTTCTCCACGAGGACCTGGAGTAACAAAAAACCAATACACTTAAAAGTCAAAATAGACTTTAATGGTATTTACACTGGCAAATCAGAGGGTTGGTGAGAAAATAATGAAATAAAAGGCTTTCTCTTCTGAAAGGCAAGGTCAGTGTGTATAAAAGCACCACAATCTTATGAACCTTTTGGTTAAAAACTTACCTGGTGGACCAAGCTCTCCTGGATCCCCCTTTCTGCCTGGTGTTCCTTCATTTCCTACTTGACCTTTGGGACCTACAGTGGCACAAATACACACACATACACATATTTTTGGGTTTCACTATTCTGGTGGGGACTTCCATTGACTACCATTAATTTGTAGGTGAATTCTATAGCCTAACCCTGACTGTTACCCTAAACGCCAAGTATGTACCTGTCATTACAGGTACATACTTACAGGTGCATTACAGGTACATACCCCTTTCCAAAACTCAATTCACACCTTAGTCCTAATCATAACTCCTAAGTCTTAACCACTAATATCCCCAAGGGGACAGCTGGTTCCCACGATGTAGGGCTTTACACGGAAATTCCACCTTGTAAGGGGAAAAAAATACAAACACACACATAACAGCAAGACTAGCTGATTGTAATTTTTCTGCGATGTTTTGTTAAATAGAAAACATGTGAAAACATCTTCTGTCTTCCCTTTTGTGCCAGCAAGTCAGCACTATTACTGATGACCATAACACATTAAAATGGGAAGAGGCACTAAGATATTTCATAACTACAATCCAACCTGCTGACAGATTTCCAGTCAGGAGTTAAGTGAGTTTTTGATCTATCCATGTTGTACTTTTCTTTTACATGGTTTACTGACCTCCCCTTTCCTGCTACAGTACAGAAATGTGAATGTTGTTAAAGCACTCTAAGTTGTCCTCAATTGTGAGCACTCCTGTAAAAAAATGTTTTGAAAGTGTCACAGTGTTGCCCTGTGATGAATTTTGCACCTCTCTTTTACTGACTGACCTTGGGAGAAAGTCCCCAGGCTGGGATCCTATTAAACCGTTTTTTTTTTTTTTCAGTTTGTTCTATATTTTTTTACAATAATGTCAAAAGAGAAGATGCTAGTAGAGAAGATGGTTCTGTATATCAGTAAATATACTATTTGTCCAGAAGCAGACATTTTATTTGAGGACATCATTTATAAGGTATTGTATTTCAGCGTTATATATATATATATATTTTTTTTTTACCAAACAACATGCTTTTGCATTAGCTACGTATTTACATATAACATGAGAATAACTGAAAACAAAAACTCACCAATTTCACCAGGAGCCCCTGGCTCTCCCTTCCCCCCTTTGAGTCCTGCTTCTCCCCTTTGACCTGGAGCACCAGGAATCCCGCTGTCACCTGTCAACAAATAAAAAACAGTATGATGATTGCAGCTGACATGGTGGGAGAAGAAATGTAGGAGAACTACCTCTAGACTTATCAAATTCACCTTCCATGTTTAGACAACTTTGAAACAACTGTATCTTCTGACTCTACAACAATCATTGTACCGTCGATAGGAAGGAGAATGTAAAATTCACATGGTTGTACCAGAGAGTATTCTATACACCATGTTATAACTGTAAATATGCTTTTAACAGTTAGTCATCACACAGCAAAGGACAACTTTCCACTGTTATGTTGAAGATACTGATTAATTTTATATGTTCAGCAGAGACCAGACATGTTTTGAAACGTCAAGCTCTCTGTAACCCTGTTTTTTAAATTTATTTATTACAATTTAGGTTGTTCAAATTCAATGATGAGCTAATAATGGTATAAAGGTAAGTGCTGTACTACTTGAGGCTTATAAAACTAATC